TGAATCGTTTACTTTCAACATATTTGTCTTAATATTAGTTGTCAAAAACTGGTCGTCATCCCATAGTAAGCTATACGACGGTTCGTTGATAACCTTGATTGTAGTAAAAAAATTTGATTGAACTAAACTAATGTTGTATAAAAAACCATCGAGTAACTCAACTAATCTATTTTGGTCATAGACAAATGTAATAGTAGTTCCATCGTTATTGGTAGACTTGAATAGCTCTTCAACGTTTTCAACTGTGATATTGGATTTACTAAAAAAAATATGAATTGATTCCAACAGCAATTGGTGTTTGTCCATTTTAAGAAGCCGTCTGTATTCGATATCTTTCAATGCAATCCTCGCGTTGCCAACAGGACATAAGTTCTCTATCGCTTCTAAGGATTTTTTCACAATACTGTCGATATAATTATTTTTGTTATCGTCATCAACAACATCGTATTCCTTTATTGGTATAGGCTTAACGATATTCGATATTAAATAAAATATAACCGCGCTCAAGCACTCTATCACGAGAGATTGAAATTTTAATATGTTGTCTGGATTGATATCGTTGCTAATGAGGTCATATAGATTTTCGAGAGTTGGCGAGTTGTCCGTAGAATTAGTTTTCAGCTGTTTCAAACGAGAAAATATGTTATTTGGCATCAATTCTTCGTTCAACAATTTAGACAACATGACATTTTTCGGGTAAAATATAGAACGCTCTCGGAAATGTTCGTCCATGCCTGTATATGACGGCATTATTGCGTAAAATTCAATTTTAAGAAAATTTCCCAAGCAATATATGTAATCCATTAGAAATGGTTCATTTTGCAAATAAGAACATTTATTTTTAATTATGTTTAGAATATCTGAGTTACCGGAATTGGACGAAAAACAAAATTCTGTCGTGTAAGACTCCAAAATATGTCTTATATATGTTGTCATTTGATCTCTTTTGGCGGTTTGTTCAGTCAATGACATCGGATGATCAGACTTTTCGGGTGGCGGATAGTACAGCACGTCATTTTGGAAAAAAAATTGTAAAGCTAATAATGTCTTCAACAAATTCTTATCGAAATTGACTTTTAGCGATTTTGTGTAGAATAATATCGTTGACATTACATCTAAGACGGATGTTGAATAGGAGTTGTAATCAGATTTCAGGTAGCTCAGACATGCAAAATCGGTTTGCGTGTTCATGTCGGATATGCATTTCTTACTAATAAATATAGCCGCTTCGATAAACTGAGAGATGGTTTCCATGTACTTGCAACTCATCGCGGTCACTGTTATTCGATAAATTTGTTTAGAATTTTCATTTGTAATATTCCAATTGTTAGTATCCGAACCATGGAGTGCCTCACTCAATGACGTCACTTGTTCGTTTACCCAAACCTTAACGTCTTTTAGTAAATGCAAATCTGGCGATCGGCCAAACGCATAAGGTAGTAATGCAGTATCTTCCCAACCATTTACGGATGAAAATAACAAAAGACATATTACCTGGTTAACTAAAAACGAAGACATCCTTTAACGTAATTATATGCTATGGTTATGTTTAAGAATAAAATAACCTATATAAAACCTATGAACGTTGTTCATTCCATGAATGTGTTGTATACACTATAAGAATTATGTTTTGCTTAAAACAGATTTGGTTGTTTTTGTTTTTCTCTTTTATGTTTGAACAGATTCAATATACAATACGCTTGCCGGTATAAAACTATTTTTTAGCAGTATCAAATAATATTTACAATTTGACATACACAATACAAAAATGATTGAAAATTGCTAAAAATCTTTAGACAATCTACCTCTGATCATTTTTTTTCTGCTACTCAGACTGCTCCAAATATTACTTGTCCTTTGCCGCGTGCTCGTTAGTTCTCACATTTCGTTGCATATCTAATTTATTATACTCAACTCTATTCCCTTTAGGTTTTTCGAGCATCTTACAAGACCATGAATAAAATTTGTATTTAAATTTGTTAGATCACTAATAAAACTTGTGTAAATAGATGATATATTTTCTTTTAAAGAGAATAAAAGTTTTAATACTATAAAAAACAATTTTTATGACGTCAATAACTTTGTTTTTATACACAACTGCTGTTTATTTTTGTATAATAACAAATTTTTGTTTTTATAGTGATTTTTTAGTGACTCAAAAATGCAAATGAAACATTTTATTTAATTATAAAATTTTTGAGATCAAATGGCTAAAATAGTAAATTGATTTTTATGTTTTAAAGTTGATTTAAAGTTTCAAAATGTGAAAGATACCATAGCATTGAATTTGGCTAATTTTGTTATAATATTCGTACAGCTCGTAATTTATTGATTGTACTTTTGTAACTTGATCAAGTTTACATAATTATTAATTTATACTTAACTTAAGCTTTAACCATAACATTTGATCGGATAATTTGAACTTTTGACTTGCTCATCCTTGTTAATAATAAATTTCTACAAGTTAACATATTATTTCGTATCAGCTTTTGTAAACATTTTCTAGATTAAAAAAAATGCGACGTTATGGAGTATAAATAATTTCATTAACATACAAAAAAAGTCCTTTTCCGCCTTGTAAAGTAAATGGTATGTTTATGTATGTATGTCTGTCCTCTCCACAAAAAAAAAGTTTCAAATCTGCTTCTTATTATTATCTCCGTCGAAAATTGTTTACTAGGTAAAATGTATAGAAAACTCGTTTGCCCTTGGGAACGTTCTTGTAGATTTTAATTTAAAAAAAAAACGTTTTTGCAAATACAAACAAAATATACAATAATAACAACATATATAATGAGTTGTGTAGAGGGCCTCAATGTTCTATTGTTATAGTTTTTTTTTATAGGTAATTTGCATTTACATAAAGTGAATTAGAGTGTTCTGCAAGGCAATAGGTATATTCATTTTTTTTTCGGAGGACATACTCTTGATGCTGTAATAAACGTTTCTGATGATACATTATTATCCTCATTAGTATAAAATAGATAACACTTTACATTAATCCATCATCAAGCGTTTCGCTTGTCCATTTTCTTCCTATACCGGGGTTGATGCTACTTAAATATTTTACAAAAAAATTTACTTAAACTACCAATCAAATATTTGTCTGGTTGTGTATACTTTAAATTAATATTATCAAATCGTAAAAACTACACTACATTTTCGAAAAACCAAATGCTGTAGATCAGGGCTTAAACTTAGGGTAAGTCATGTGACCAACAGTCCCCACCGTCTTATTACCGGTGTTCTATAAAAGAAACCTAAATTTAGGATCAATAGTTATTTGTATTGTACAACGGATGACTCAACAGCCAACAGTACACTTTGTGGGAACCGATTGAATAGTTGGAATATTATATTATTATACTGGCACTTGTATTATTGTTTTTTTTATCTGACGACACTCCGCGTCTTGTGATCTCATACAATAATATATACTTACTCATAATATGATTATTATATAAATACTTATCTCCTACTCCTGGCGCGACAGCAAATGTTTAGCACCGGGCATACCTTGTACGTTGGCCACGTTGTATTTACCACGGTAAATTATAACTACATAACACTACACATAGGTACAGGTATTGTAAGATTGTCGCGTTATTACCCTTTTGTACACTATGCTCCAGTGTATGCGTTATTATTATTTTTCTAAACGAGCAGCAGACACACGCACAATGCCTTTTTCACGTTGACCGGTTCAGTCCTCTTCAGGTGGCATTGTCGTTACTCGGCTTTATTGATTTTTTCACTTATACGCTTTGTATTGTTAATTATTCACACACCGGTAGCTAATTCGACCGCGTGTGAGGTCGACAACGACGGCGATGGTGATGTGAGAAGACACGGTCGTTACGTTAAGCCTCTGAATGGGACGATCGGTTATTATTATTGGTAGGTAATTTTTTTTTTGTGCTTCTCTTCTATGGGAATTCGGATTAGAACAAAACGAAAATAATTAAACCCCATCGTTTACGGCCGATCGTGTTATAATCATTATTATGTACAATCGAGTGAGCGTGTGCCGGGGCTTAAGTAGGTACTCCTATCCGTACCCGATCATAATCCCGTGTAGCCGGTCACTGTGCTAATAAGTACACACAAGTCTCTTAATTCGTTTTTAAATGCCTGGCGGTCGGCTATCATCATCATTGTTATGTCAATATCATGCACGATTTCCAATAGTTAGCCCGGATTTATTTACTCGCGTGATCGTCCATTAATCGCCTTCGATTGAGTATAATAATGACAATAACACATAAAAAAAAAAAATTAATGTTAAACAAACGTGATGTCGGTAGTGCGCTTTTCGGTGGTCTTTGCCCTTTGGATTGAAGGCAGCAAAAAAACCGTTTTAGACCGTTCAATAATGTACAAAAATAATACTTCAACTTGGCTGACCGTATGATTTGCACTGTTAAACTGAAGAGCAGTGTGGTAAGCGATATTATATGCTCTCGAAGCTATTGGAATCTGGAAATAATTATTTTTTAGCATTTCGCGAATTAATTTATTTTGTTTGCTAAGACGGGAATCCGCTTCGTCGTTGAACCCGAAACGTGTAATCTAACTTCGCATATCCATCGTCGTTACGCGCTTGTGGGCATTTTCCAGTGACGCGAAAAGTTACAGAAGCTCTAAAAACTTGTACAATGTTGCGCTAAAACTACACGATTTATTGCTTAGAGGCCTTGTCTGTCTAATAGATTTTCCAGTTAAAACTGGTGTTGTAGTGAAAAACACTTTTAAAAAAACAATTTTTTTCACTCCGACTCGTCAGTCCTACACACTTTTTATCAGTATATAATGTACAAACCAGTGATCACTTCAGCCTCTTTGGCTATGTCTAGGTAAACGTCTATGGACGTGTCTAGGTAACACGGACTGGAGTCGACTTTTTTCTAAATACGAATTATTATCCAATATTGATGGGTGCATATGGTATCGAGTAATAAGACAGACAACTGACAATTTTCTTTTCTTTTCTCTTTTTACAGCTCAAACACGGCGGTCCCGGTGACGAAACCAGGCACGCCGGCGACTTGGGCAACATCCAGGCGGACAACACTGGAGTGGCTCAATTCTCATACCAGGATAAACTGATCTCGCTGGTGGGAGCCCACAACATATTGGGACGTGCCGTTGTAGTACATGCCGACACCGACGACTTGGGACGTGGAGGATTCACCGACAGTCTGGCCACAGGGCACGCCGGTTCCCGGGTAGCCTGCGGAGTCATCGGCATCCTGTAGGCACTTATATATCATATATCATTATTAATTTATGCTCTTGCAACATAACTTCAACACTCTTGGGTAGTTCTCTCGCTTGTAGTTAACCGATCTGTACCGTGTTTTATAATTGTCGATGATATATTATGACCGTACACCGTTGGCCAAACGCTATTTATTTTAAACACGTGTTTTTTTTTATATATATCTATAGGCATACCTATATATATTTATTATTTATTTTAATTTAATTACATTTTCTACGTTTACAATCAATAAACACACTTGGTTTATCTATTCACGTTTTCTATGCTTATAGCATTTGTGTGTGCGTCCTTTGTATACAATAAGCTTGCTTTGTACTTGCAATGTATTTGGGTTGAGTCAAAAACAAACTATCTATGTCTTTAAACGGACTTGACAGCGGAATCGAGGATACATTATCATAATATCCAACTAGGTCGGTACAAATATTGTGGTCGAATTGTTTTTAATCTATTGCTTTGTGTTCGCTGTTTATTTGTGTCTTAGAATTGGTGAAAACGCGAATTGAAGGTCTGATATCTGTATTTACTATCGAGCACAACTGCAGCAGCTGTCCTCAATGTAGCAGAACCAAAAGTTATAGTTTTTTATCGACTACCTAGGATTTTCTGTATAATAGACTATATTTACGGTATTCAACAACTATATTAAGTAACCAAGTGATACACAACATTGATTTATACTACGCTCATTGTTTACACTTGTACACAATACTTAGTACTTTATACGATTTCGGATTTGGTATTTAAAATCACATTTTTTATGTGATTTTAATGCGTCGATTGTAGGCAGCATTTTTTTTAGTTTTGCAAAAGTCAAAATAATATTATGTTAAAACTTATAATATAATAATACAATCTTATTGAGAATAGACAACAAGGACGTGCTACGGTAATGCCTTTTGGTCCTAGGGACCTGCAACAGAGGGTAATTTGTATAAGATATTAAGAGTTTTTTGTCTTTACGTCACGCCATTTGGGTACACAAATATAGGTACAAGCAACTATAGCGCAAGGCTAAATATTAGTACCTAATTCAATATTTGACATGAAAAACTAGCAAAAAATATGTTTAGCACACGCGTCCACTATTATGAAAACTCATTTGGATCTGATTTCGTTTCTTTACACTAAACTCTTGACAAGCGCATTCGTAGAATTTCAATATTTTTCATATATCATCTCATCTTTGATTAAGGTTGTTTTTTCAGCAATTGCAATTGCAATTTTAGCTTATGCTTACCCGTGTTCTAAGTTATGGAAAAGTACTGTTGTATAGAATTTACCGGGAAAACAGGTGCCCCTAGCATTCCATATTACTGCCAGAATAGTAAATCGAATCAATTTCAACTGTACGCTGAGTATTTTTGAATATAAACTACATTTATCATCCAATGGTATAAAGATCGTGGAATGTTATTTCACATATATGTATTTTTATAAAATGTGTTTTCTGCGAATGAAGCTTTAGCTGTTTTCTGGGTCAGACGAAATCAATTTTTTACAATCTCAACAAACAACACAACCCGTAATTCCGTGAACTATATTATTTTTAGGTACAATTTGCCAACATCTTTAGAAAAATCATAAAAAGCGCTTAGTAAACTAAAATTATACAACCTTCACACAATACTAATGTACAACACACAATATCGCAAGTTTCTTGGTCACCTTTTATTTATTTAGTTTATACATTATATTTCTGAGTGTTTTTGTGAACTTCAACAAAATGCGAAATACCATAATCGTAGCATTACAATAATGTATTATATATTCAGATAATTTAAAAAGACATATTTCACGTTGGCGAAAACCAAAGATCGAATCAATAAGAACTGATTGTTAATGTTGCAACGAAGGGTTTTCAAATTTTTATTCTGTAGAACATTTGTTATATAATTTAGGTCAGGCCATTGAAAGCTGCGGCTTTAGCTAATGAGAGTTGGAAGAAGTTGAAGTGGCATCGACCGATTGATGATGTGGTATAAAAACTTACCAATTTTCACCAAGAAGTTTACAGCGACCCAAGTTTTTAAATAAACGCTTTTCTCTTGTTCGTTAATTTCTTCCATCATTCATAAATTGTATGAAATCGAATTTCAATGAGAAGTTTTTACAATAAAATGAAATAACTTTTTCCCTACACACACAACCCCGTGTATACCAAGTAAAATAATATTTATGGTTCCGTCTTTAATGGCCCCAATGAAATTCTACTCACTATGCATCCGACCGCAAAATAAATAGGATCGGTGAAAAGTAGTATGATTGAGAATTAAAAAAAAAACACTTTTATACAGACATACTGTAAAATGCTGTTAAATCTTTATATATATAAAAACCTTATTTAAACTACATGTCCAAATCAGACTTCGATACAAAAAAAAAATTGTTATCACATTGCGGTTAGGGAAAAAATAACGCTTTGCGTGAAGACTGTAATAAAAAAAATCTAACCGAACCGGTAACATTCCTAGGACGTCATGGTAATCTAAGAAGAACGGCATTAAACCAGCATAAACCATTGGTTAAAAAAAAAATACACAAGTGACCTTGACCCAAATTAAAAAAAAATTATAATAATACAAATTACACAGTCCTCTGACGAGGAGGTCGTGGAGAGTTTCGGAAATCACGAGCAAAAAAGCGGCTTTACCGGAACGCCAAGGATGCACCTAATTTGTTTTTATTATTATTGCAACTCCAACGTTAGTGTCTGCGCCGAACGGATTCGCCAACGATCTTCCAAAACCTAACCTAACCCAATCTGCATTCGGGTCATCAATTATACAACATTCATAAATTATTTGCCACCGATTGCACCATAGCCTGGATGTCCTCATCAGGAATACACGTGAAGTTATACCAGTCTGCGGTTAAAGCCGTTTCTACCAAACGAATGCACACGTTTCACCTGAAACGTAATCGACACCAACCATGAAATTTTTAGCTTCGACGTGGAGCAGAGATGCTATTGGTTTTTACTATTTAAGATGTTTATTTTTTTTCTAGTTTAGAAGCTCCGTTCTATAGTTGAGCGTTCTACATGACAACATCATCGGTACAATTAGTAAAATATCTCATAAATACTCAATCGACTTGCAGAGCTTTAATCTTTTTTCATCTTTTTCAACATCATTTTTTTATCGTTCCTACAAGTTCGCCGTAAACCAAAATTTCCATTCGAACTTAAGTTTGACGGAGTCGGATGAGGGTGTCGCACAAATTACAGTCGGGGATAACCCAAGTCGGATAATTAACCGCTGCTTCGCCTTCACACATATATAATTAGGTAATTTTAGGAAATATCGACTCTGTGGCGGGTCAAAGGTGCAAAGGTTAATGGCGCAGACCCGACAACTTCGCCGTCGCCCACATCAAAAGTCCGGTTTGACCCGTTTCGGTTTTGCTTTTGATACTTTCGCACTAACGGAAAATACATCATGGGACGTACACCGTATACCTACACCGCCGAGGTGTTATATAATATGTACATACACTACACTGCGACCCTATTTTATTTTATATCATATTATATAATAACGCTGTGTACAACGCGAACAAAGTTTGGCGGCGAGAAACTTTGGAAATGATTAAATCATCATTATTGAACGTCGCCGGTCTGTCCGAAAAACAATTATTCGGAAAACTAAAAAAAAAAGGACACTTAAAAAGTTTCCACCGAAATTATTATTCCCGGTAGACGTTGAAAATTTAACCGGCGCTCAATAGCCATCCGCCCGCGCCAATGTATGTGTGTTGAGCACACCCTGGACATGATTCTATCCAGACCATGGAAATGTTAAAATACAATAATAATTCGCTTATTAAATAGCACTTAATCAAATAACGTTTGCCGTTGGTTTTGATCCGTTTTGCAAAGTACTACAAAATGTATACAACATATTTATACCATTTCAATCGATGGCCAAGCAAAGCCGAGTACATTATAATGATTACTAAAACATATACAACGTTTGATTAATACCATTTAATGTTAAATGAATAATTGTATTTACTTTGCAAACATGACTACGATGAAACGATTGAAAACATTTCAATTATTATTAATGACGAGCAATAATAACGAGGTATAAATACATTATAATACCTACTAGTGTTCACATCCAAGGACGTTATTAAGCCATTATAGGTATCTTAATATTATTTCTATATGAAACGCGCATTATTTCTGGTTATCTTAATGAAATGTTGTTTTGTAACCGTTGTTTTGAACCAAATTAATTACAAATACTTAATGCAATTTAAAACAAATATTTATGATCTTAATAATGTTATTACATAATATTATAATAAGCAATCGAAATTTACCTAGAATATACTTTTTTTTTCTAAGGAGGAGGGTAAGGGGTGTAAATGCACAGGGTTACTAAAAGTTCACCGGTGAGCTTTATTACAGAGTAGCATATTCGGTCGAAGCTGGACAAACTAAAGATTTAATTGGAGAATTAAGTTCAAAAAAATATAAAATGTTAAAATATAAATGTTTGGTATCATATCATTATCAAATAATAAAACAACATTAATTATGCCAGTAATAGTCCTCAAGAAATTAAAAAAATTAAGAAAAATATAGTCTTACTAAAAAGTTAAAGTTACCAAGTTAATGAAGTGTCAAAAAAACAAAAAACAAATGTTTAATGAGTTTAATATTCAAAATGAACAACACTTTTGAAACTTCATTCGGACGTAATAAGGTGTGAACGCTTTGCCTTGAAAATGAATTGCGTTAACTTTAGATACCCCATTTCGGTTTTTGCTGGCATCCAAGTATATTATGTACCGTCTAATCTAAAATATAAAACAAAACCAAAACGTGCGCTCAACTTAACTCGGAGCTGTCCGTTTATTAGCCGTGATTATTATTATTATTATTGCATTGCTTCGGGGGGTTAAGACCCGAAGGGGGTCGCCTACAAACGACGGCAATGTTATATAAAAGAAAAACACTCGTAGAAGAAACTTTTCCCACAGAGGGCGACTTCTGGCTCTTTTGCCGGTTTCAAGCACAATAAAGAGTTTCAATAACGGGAAATATTAACCGCGAGAAGTGTTTGCTCAGACTATTTAATTTCGGTAGACCACTAAGATTTATTGTCCTCGTTTCGCCTTTCTCGCAGCCAACGGTGGATTCGGTTTCGTTTTGCAAACTTTTTCTTACCGACTCTATATATATATATATAATATATTTTCCTCCATCATATTATACAAATCTTTGTAAGTAAAGAAAACCATGCCGGTCGATCAGGTACTTCGCGTTTTCCCTACCCAGTAAAATGTATTAATTTTAAAGCATTTTTCACACCAAGTTATAATTTGAAAACAGATTTTATGCAATCAGTCAAGTTTTCTTAGCTAAACTCTAACTGTTAAAACCGGGTTTGAACTATTTTCAGTAAATTATAGAATGCTAAAGTAAAAAAAAATCGATGACACTTTCAACTATGAAAATAAAAGAAAAATTATAATATTAATTATGAAAAAAAATTCATCCGGATAATCAATTTATGGTCTGTGCAACTCAATCAGATCGTCAGTGGAACACTTATGTTCCTGTAACAAAATTTTCTCTAAGTCGTTTCGATATGCTATTAATTTCATTCGAAAGCTATTAATTTGTTCACTGGTGCACTTTACTTATTGTGCTTGTTTATTTTTTTCCAGAGACCCAGCAACGCCGTGGGATAAGTCATCCGGTCATAAGAACTCAGTCTCGCACGTCCTCACACTGACTGCCATCGCAGCTGCCACAACCTTCGCCATGTCGTTGAGGAGTGTCTAAAACTTTTCGACCAAAAACGTACACGACCAACTATGTTATAATATTATTATTATTAAACTTGTCTATTTATAATAATATACCGGCATACATGTATTAGAATCACCTACACATTACAAGCCCATATATACACATATACATTAAGTTAATAATTATTATATGCTAAAGTTTTAGACGACGTGACAGTGTACTTTGCCAACAACATTTTCCTTGTCAGGTGGGAGTTTTCAATTAAAGTTTTTTAAACACTAACGATATAACATGATTTAAAAAGTAAAAAATAAAAATAGTAGCACATTACATAGATGACAATTTTTTCCCCCTTTATTTTATTAACCAAAAAGTGATTTTCATTCTGTAATTTTTTTTTTTTTTACATTCATATGTGATAATATTTATTATTTTGTAATATTATTATTATTAGACCTATAATTATTATTATTACTACTATTAATATTATTATTATTATTACCTAATTTTAGCTGCAACGTTTAACGTTAAACCGTTGTAAATATTATAGTAATCGCTTAACATAATATATTCTCGAGGGTTTTTATTTATTTATTTATTTTACAACTGATATTTTTAATTTTTGTCTGTAGGTGTAATTAAAACGCTTAGTGCTTAAGCTTTATGTTCTTTTACTTATAAAACAACTAGTAGGTAAATATTTTGTATAAGTAAGGCGTAAAAAATAACATACACATTAATTTTACCCGCTAAATGTAAACAGTTAAGCTTTTATTATCATTATTATTTAATTAATAATATCACATTACTCTATGCATAATATTTAATTTTAACGCATGTACAACTCGATCAATGAATAATATTCGTTTCTTGTATTACATACTTTTAAAGTGTAATGATAATTTATTATTATAGGCCTATTATATTTATATAAATACTTGTTGGGCACAAGCCTGATTACCAAAATTGTTTTTAATTATTATTATTTATTACTGTTTTTTTTTTTATACTCTTCGATTTATGACTATATTATTATTGTATACCTATTTATTGATATACCGTAATTGTATCATATATATATAATTATATATTATACATTGATGGTGTACTTATAGTTATCATAGGATTTTTAGTCAAATATATTACACTATTTAATTATTAGCAGTTAAATTGTAACAATACAAATTATACGTAACTACTTATTATACATACGGTGCGTTTTTTTGTGTTTTATCATGCAAAAAGGATTAGAATCAAATTGAAAAAAATCTACCGCTGACTCTTGATGAGTCCTACTCTCACTGGTCATACACACATTATAATAGGAATCTTAAATATCTATAGTAATAAGTAATAGTACACACATTTGTATTTTTAAATAATAATTATTATTTTATTAATAATATTGTTTATGTTTTTTAAACAAATAATATATATTATTTAACACCAGTATCGAAATATGTCAAGTTTGGTACCTATGTTAAGAATTTTTCATTTTCTTCGATTGTCTTTAAACGGGCAAGCCATGTCGAGTCCTTAAGACTGGTAAGCGAATAAATCACCTCGAAATCAATTTTTGAAATATCATGTATGTAATTGTAAAACAATTCCATCACCATCGAGCTACCTGTAATCTCATTAACAGAAAAAAATTTGACAGAATCTAATAAATTATATTTCGTGAAAACTGCTTTGACGCCCTTATTCCTATGAAATATGTAAGTATCGTCGACTTCCAATGGATTTGAAAAACTACTGAAACTCTCATTGTTCGATGTCATTATTTTTAGCATTTGCAAAATGTTATGAACGCGATGATCGATTATCTTCTTTATTCCTTTTTTCGTACTAAACATTGGAAAAGACTCGTTAATCAGATCAACGACTTTACGCAAATGTTGGTCGGTGGACTGGCGAATGCAACTTATCACCGTATTTAGGTGCGACAACATGACTCGTTTATTGCTCGATATATTCGATATAATATCGTTTATCGATGCTTCGGTGTTTAATGTTTTTTTTATAGTATTCAAGTAACCTATAGCAGTCCTCATAACAATCACTTTCAACACGAGTAGGAAATGGTTTTGAAACGTTATTAGCGAACTGATCTGTGTATACAACGATACGCGATCGCTCCCGCTGAGCAAGTAGTACTTGTTCAGCTCATTCTTTATAGAATCCCAGTCGAGCTCTACCTTGAATGCCGTTTCCAAATCGACAATCATCCGGTTCTGTTCAACCTGTTTTTTAAGGCGCAATTGATCTTTTCCATATCGACTGACGACCGATTCGGATATCCCGTGTTGTGCGTTTTGTATCGTCTGCATAGCGAAACGTTGCTTTAGATACCGAGTTGTCAGCTTATAGCCTAATGCCGTTCCGTCTATGAATTGTCCAACCTTATCTTTGTAGCTGATGTCTTCGAACTGGAGCGTCGTGGTATTATACACCGGACATTTTGTGGAGTCGTCAAACCCCTCTAGTAGCATTACGACGGCCTTGTGAGCGCACATAACTTGTGACTTTTTGTAATTCTCGAGTGCTTCGGAAGGAAATTTAACTCCGTTCTGGTAAGACTCGAAAAACACGGATGCCCTCTCGGCGTACTGGGCGAATATCCACATGACTTCCTTAGTACTCGTAGATAGTTTATCTGCGTCGTTTAATTTGTCAAGTATGCCTAAGGTGTACCTCGCTTCCTCTGTGAAAATCAAATCTGGCCACGATTGTTCTAACGGTTTGGCCCTGGGATCTCGTATGTAAGATTTTGTCAGGTACAAGTACGCCAAAGCACTAAATACGAAACTGCAGTAAAATTCTTCATGAAGTGCGTTGTTAAGCTGTTCGACGTCATCTTTGTGTGCGAAACTTGGTTTACTCGTAGTTAACGGAGGTCTACCGACTAAACCTCGATCCGCAGCATATTGTTTTATTGCTTTATTAATTAAATAGTCCACATAATATGGATCATTTTTTTTAGGAACATCTCCAGCAAACGTATAAACCGCCATCAGTAGCACAATACATTTTATCGAAAGAGCCATATTGAATAATGCACACCAGTCTTATTGAATAATATTGAACTAATACTGTAAGATACTGAATAATACACCTTGACTTGCGTTTTAAATCGTTTGTACGCTATTCGTATGCTTGTTTGTTATTTAAAACAAATCGGATGCGGCAGAAGCTATTATTTGTTTTTTGCGCTGGTAAACAATAAAAAAAAAACCCCGAAACTTAACACATTTAATACAGCTATTGATTTTTGTATGTATAATATAAAATATCAAATCCAAGAAACTAGAATTTAAAAAACTAGTTAAAATTCATAATACTTTAATATTTTTTTTAACATAAATTTGAAAAATACTGATTACTGTAATTTCTACAATATTAATTTGGGCAAACTCTGTTATCACGTAACAAATTGCAGGTAGGTAGCGTCCTTTTAACAATAACTTTCTTTGAACATTTGTAGTAGATGAGCACTTAAAGGACACAGAATTATATAGGTACTCTTAAATAAGCAAAAGCCGTTAACTGAAATACGAATTAAAAGATTTAAAAAAAGGGTGAGAATCAAATTTCAGAAAAAATGCATTATTTATCAAATAAATACATCAGTTTTATAGTATAAGATTTTTGTTAACACCAATAAAAAAAAGTATGTAACATGACAAATATTAATATTTGAGAGGTTCGGATCAACGTAGAAATCCAGAATATAGAATATGGTATGGGAAATGGGAATCCTCCAGAAGTGCGAGGGTTTAACCCTCGAAATAACAAGTACAAGTTTTTTAATATAATAGGTTTCAGTTAAATAAAAGTCGTCAATTAACCGTTAGGTTAAAATATAACACACACCCTCATTTTTTCGTTTAATTATAATTAATTCATAAAGATATACTAAACAAATACAATAAAATATAAATTGATATGAAATGTATAGGAAAATAATTAAATCAAAATGTGCTTTTATGAAGTTCTATGATTGAGTATTGTTTATTATGTGGCAAAAATATTTTCATTATTATTTTAGTGCGTAGTTTGGAAATCAAACCAATTAAAAAGTTTGGAGTGTCAGAAGGCGTTTTTTTTTGGTTTTTTACTTTTAGTTTCTAATTTTGTAAATACCGTTCAGACTCTTTAAGACCGATGAACGTGTTGAACACCGCGCCAGATGGACGTCTTGTGTAATTATTTTGACATAACCGCCAAACACTTCCATGTTCGTTACGCTTTCTCGAAGCCAAACCTCGGTGTTTCCCATTGACTTATTAATGTTATATTTATCGGCAAGTTTACCGACCGCGTCCACCGACCGTTTGCTGTACTCTTCCCGTAAGTCGATCGGCGTGCAGAATGACTTTAAATTTGTACACCTCCGCGACTCGCAAAAGAGTAAACTGAAAATTTTCGTTATTTTAGCGGTGATTTTTTTTCGTTCTAACATACACAGTGCCACGAAGAGGTGTCCAAAATGCCGATTACCATAAGCAAATGTTGGTCTTCGAGCTGACCCAAACGTTTGGCGAAGTCCTCCGGGTGACTGGCAATTTTCCGGTTTTGTTCGCTGCAATAACTACGGATGTACAACAACTGGACTCTCTCGCTGTACGAAGACGTTTGCCATTGCACCAGACCGAACCGACCACAGGGACCATAGTTAAACTGAATCATCCCGTTTCCCTTGCATAAAATGTTTCCTCTTCCTTGCTCACTCTTTGCGTCACCCTGGTCCATCGCGCTGCGTTTTCGTCGACGTGCGGACACCTAACGAAACAGCGAGGCGCACGTTCGGTGGCCTATTCGAAATTAATTCAGGGGCAACCCAAATTTTTTTTCGTTAACCCTATTACTTAGGCATTGGTGCCTCGTCTGTAAGCTCTCTCAGCTCGTTCGGATTTTCCACGAACGTTATTGTCAGGCCCATGTGCGCCAGTGCGCTGAATACTAAATCGCAATGCAAGTCGTGGAAGAGCTCGAGTTGTTGCTTTGATATATCGTCAATGGACATACTTTCGATGTTATGCCAGGACGACTGAGGTCGAGTAAAGTAGCCTCGGTCGATATTTTGCATCGTGAATAAATCCAAGCGACCAGTGTGATCGTCAGCCCGGATTGCGGTCACCTGCAGACAGATCAGTAGAACACGAAGTGTCTTAAAAAACGACATTATAGTACTTTGAGTATGGCCCAGCAAAAAAAAAAAACTATAATATTATATTATATATTTTAATAATAACAATAGGGCAAATTTTGGTTTTTATATTGTAATAAAAATGCTGACGAGTTCACACTTCTGTTCAAACATATGTCAACGAGTTAGAGGTAACATTAAAATCTATTTGTTATTGTGGTACATAAATTTAATCTAGTTGTTACTTAAAGATTTTTAATTTAACCAAGTTTTTTTTTGGTTAGGTATAATAATTCGCAACTGGATACCTCATTTTTATTACACTCTTCAAATAATTATCCTATTGAGAAAAAGAAAAAATTACTGCCAAACCAGTGGCACTTTTACACCGCATCGATCACAATTTACATTAAATTATTTTATTATTACCCAGAGTAATCTGGAATAAAATCTCATAAAAACAAAAAAACAAAATGGAAAATATTCCCTTTAAAATTAAAAAATTACCACCAAAATGTAATCAGTTGAACTAGATAACTGAACAAACATACCGCTAAAATCTTAGAGAACATTTCGAATCCGCAATGGCGAAAGGCGCCATCGAAAGACTTAGGAATGACATGACATTAAATGCCCAATTGTTATTTTTTCCTATGCACATTTGGTGAGTTTAGTATGATTACAGACTCTACACTGTAGAGACTACAGTATTAATTTGGACACACTCTACTTTCACATTACAGGTCAATAGCGTCCTCTTTGTCCTCTTATCAATAACTTTCTTAGAACATTTGTAGTAGATGAACACTTAAAGCGCGCAGAATTATAGGTACTCTTAAATAAGAAAACGCCGTTAGTTCAAATTTAAATTGGAAGACTATAATTTATGTACTATTAATTTACTAACAATGATAGATTTTATTATTAATTGTATTGATAGCTATTACAGAAAAATACATAATAAACTATATTTGATTATTACCACACAAAAAAAAAATAATAATAATAATTATGCCTAAAGACAATTTTTTAATTTGGTGAAATGTGTATATATATTATTATAATATAATGATATACATATTAATAAAATGTATAATAAAAGGTTCTTTCTCATTGTTAAGTTTTATGATAAATATAAATATATATTATGTGGTAAACCAGCTTTAAAAGCATAAAATTAATTAAACATATAACCCATATTTTTTTAATCGCATTAACAATTTAGCTTAAACATTAATTTTAGTACAAACAAAACTGTTTATTTACCATACAACTGATTTTTTAAGAGACTTCAATAATCTGGTTGCAAAGTCCGGTTTAGTCGCTGGAACCACAATGGCCGGTTCAGTCTCTGGAACCGTTTCTTCGTCTTTTTCTATTTCTCTCATCTCCTCTATTTGTTTTAAACGATTGTAAAATGGATACCAATCCATACTAATAAACGAATTTATCACTTCAAAATCGACGGGTTTAGTAATAGTTTTTACGTAACCAGCAAACACTTGCATGCATACCAAGTTTTTTCGTACTGAACGATTGATACCAATTACATGATATCCATGTACATTGATTGATTGATTTAAGTTATATTTTTTGGCGACTTTATCAACTTGGATCATTGACCGTTGGCTGTACTCTTCATTTTCTTTAATCGGCGTTCCAAAGCTACTGAAATTATCATTCAACCGTGACTTTTCCTTGAGCAGTTCAAATATATTGTTAATGCAATCATCAATATGCTGAACATTTTTACAATTCCGTAGAGAATTTGTTATGTTTTCCATATCTCTATGGTTGCCTACATGAACCGCGAAATCTGCAAAGTGTTCAGCCATTGTATAGTTGCATTTTGGCAGATAATAACGTTTGGGCGACAAGACCCCGGACGAGGACAATATTTGTTTGATAGTCATCAAGTAACCGATAACAATCCTCATGGCAATCGCTTCCAGTACAAACATGACATTGCTTTGGAATTGCACCAGGGAAGAAATTTGTCGGTACAAAGTAATATCAGAGCTGTAACTGAGCCTGTTGGCGGTTTCCAGTGCATTCCATATAGAATCCCAGTCGAGCTGAACACCGAAAGCCATATCCAGTTCGTATGTTATGCGTTGATTCGTCATAAAATTGTCTAATCGTAACACGTCCATTTCAAATCGCTCGACGCCCATTTCAGGAAAACCGTGTTTGGCGTTTTCTTTTCTCTGCTCGGCAAATCTCTGCTTCAAGACCGAATTCGTCAACTTAAGGCCGTTTTCCGCTTTTCCGTCCACATACTGCTGGATCTTATCTTTGTACTTGGTATTTTCCAACTCGCCCGTTTCCCGATCGTACACCATACATTTCTTGGTGTCCACGTACTCCTCTAGCACTGTTACGACGGCGTTATGAGCTGACAATACTAACCTGTTGCTAAGACCGCCGGCTCCGTTCCAGTACGACTCGAAGAACACGGCTGCTCTTTCGGCGTACACGGCGAATGTCCACGCGACGGCCTTGGTTGAGCTATCTACTTGGTCGTTGTACAACACGTTCAGTATGTATTTAGCTTCGTCCGTGAATGTTAAACACGTCCAGTCTGTGATATTGCTCAGATTCGTCGTGTCCTTTATGTACATTTTCGTTAGGTACATGTGCGCCAGTTGACTGAACACAAAACTACAGTGTACCTGTTCGACAAGTTCGTCAGTGAGACTTGCCATTTCTTGGTTCGACAAATCCAAAGTTCCGCTCACTGGAGGTGTACCGACGTAACCTCTGTCCAACGGCAGCACCGAATACAGCTTCGAATCATTTGATACGATGGCACTTTCGACAAACACTCCGAATAACCCCGTCATCAATATAATAATTAACGCCGCCATTTAAATTGCTGTCGATTAGAAATCCCGCAAATCACAAGTTATGAAACAATTTAGAAATGTTTGTAATATTTTTTTCGTTCTTCTGTGAAATTGTTTAGCTTGGGGCTGAGTTGAAAAAATCGTCAAACGTGCCAGATTCGTATATTTACTAAGCAAATTCTATTTGATGCAAGTCATAAGGTATATTTTATGATTCGTTTTACTATGAGTAATACAATAGGTACGTTGCACCTAAAATCAAAAAAAAATAATATCTGTCACAGTTGCTAAATAATCCATTTCATTACATACGAGTAGTTACATTTTTTTATTAAATTTGAGCTTTACAAATGTAGCTTTTACATAAAATACATAGTTACTTTATTATTAAATTTGACAAAATAACCTATTCAACTGTTGTCATACTAATGCACATATCAAATGCACCAATCTTAGACTTATAAATCTACACGTCACATCTTCGTGGCGTTAAAAAGCTGCGTTCGGCTAATGCGACGTTAACAGGCAGAGAAGCGATTTTATTCAATAATATGTACACATTTGGGTATACAATGTACGCCGGTAACGACTGATAATAAAGCGGTATTCCATATAGTTTGCAATAACTAAATCCATGTTTCGTTTATTCAACACGTCGGTAACTAATTGTTGGTAACGTGTATACTTCCTACTGCAAGTACAGCCGTATTTAGTAGAATGCCGTTTAGTGGTCTATGACGGATAAAAATACAGCTGCATGTTTTTCTTTTGAAAAGAATACGTACTTACAGTTAGAAAAAGAAAAATGTTATTTAAATTTAAAATTTTTTAATTTGAAAATCCCAATTTAATAGGTAAAACAACAAAATAGCACGATGACAAAGCTTGTGGGCAACCGCTCCTCCCTCTTGTACACGCCATTGCTTTACACTAATTATACGAATTATGCCTAATTTTCATGATAAATTATATTACAAAAATTGATAGTCTACGCGAGTACTTCACTCTTATCTCTAACCTGATTAGCTTTGAAGTATCGTTTTTGTTTTTCACTTGACTGTGTTACGACTACAACTTGAGCTATAATGCGAAAACGCGTTATTTAATGTTATTTTTCATTAGACACAAATTATCAAATAGAGGTCATAGAAATACCAATCGTTTTTAAGCTTATACAAATAAATAGATTTTTAGTACTAATGATAAGTACTTGACATTCACACTGACACCACATGTGTAAACAGGTAAAAATAATACTAAGCGTTACTAAAACCGGGAGTGCGAGTGAATACAAAACTTGTTCGAGTGACAGGTCAGTTCAAGTGACAAGTACTAATGATTAGTACTTGAGCATCGTGTAAACTGACAAAGCTTATAATTCTGCGTTAAACTGCACGCGATTCACAGTACCTAACGTTCTGAATTTCCACTAAAGCGAGATGAATTTTACACGTTCAAATTTGATTGTGATTTTTTTGGCGTTGACGGTAAGTTCCATTTCGGGTTGTCGGCAAAGAACCGAAAACGCCATTTGCGAATCGCTACCGTCAAACAAAAACGGTACAAAGTTTTATTTGTACACAAAGTGAGAAGCGCTTATAACTATACAAAAACCGTATAAATACACAAACAAATATAATTCTAGAAAATCTTCGGTCGAACTTACGGTGGACGAAGATTCTATAAGTGCAGCGCCGTTCGCCGATTCCAACAAACTAATATTCTATTTACACGGTTTTGGCGAATCCGCAGACGCCGCAGGAGCATTACTAATCCGAAATGGTCAGACAGTCATAACTGGGCTTAACAATTTATTCAGCTACATACAGTACCTCCACTTAATTGTCATTTTATTTCAGCCTATTTAAACGGAACGGATGACGTCAACGTTGTTCTGGTGGACTATTCCAATATGACCGGAGTCTTCAGCCCAAGTCTTTACGGGTTCGCCCTGTCTTTCCCGAGGTCTAGATATTGTTATTTGCCGAGAACCGCCGACACACTTGTGGAAATGATCTTGTTGATACAAAAAGTGAACACGCAGATCAATTATACACGGTTGATTGGCTTTAGTTTGGGCGCTCAGATAGCTGGCAAGGCCGGAACGCGGTACAAGGAAATCACCGGCTGGTTATTGGACAGAATCACTGGTATTTAAACAGTTAATTTTTTACTAAAATTTAATCGATTGTCAGCCATCATCGGTTGGCCAATAGTATTGCAAAACGGTCCGGAAGAATATCGGCTCCACTTTTTTTTTGAGCAGTTCCATATTTTGTAACGCGATTAACGAACACGTGTCTCGTTTTGTTACTAAATTGGTGACTTCACTTTACCCTATCGAAACCCATTTAATAATCATTTTTTTCCCATCGTCGTCAGCTTTGGACGCGGGTGGTACTTGTTTACAGCAATCGCCCGAAATAAGCAAGCACAGTGCTTCATTCGTGGACGTGGTGCACTCCAACACCGGTTGGTTCGGCTACATAAAACCCGCGGGTCACGTGGACTTTTACATGAACAACGGCATCATACAACCGGTTTGCCTGACGAACGCTAGCGACGGTAAGAATCTGCTACATATTATATTGTTGTAGTTTACACGCAAAAGCCACAAAGTTAACAAAACAAAATATTAACAAATCCAATCGGCTTAGACGTTGGTAAAATGCCTCATTTTTTCGGCAAAGTTTGTCAATAAGACCCATCCCGAAGTTGTGGTGTTTTCTGTCTAAAATGGTACATTGTTCGGTTAACAGTCGCCGACATATTCGGTTTCCCGTCCGAATCAATGGACGCTACGCTTTGTTCTCACTTGTCTTCGGTCTTATACTTTGTGGCGTCCATTTACAACGATGAGATATATGCCCAGTGCTGTAAACAGATCAGACGACTAACCGAAAACACCGAAAACCATTATCTGTTGGACGACGACAACAACAACGCCATCAGTTTGACGTGCAATTCGTCTAACGGTACAAAACAAATAGTATTTGGCGAACACGCTCCTCTAGAGTAAGTGCTTATTTATACAATTCTATACGTTGTCCCACTAGAGAACGGACCTGCGCAGAAACCAAAACGCATTACTGCGTATGCGCCCGCGCAGACAAAAGTAAACCGGTGTGACGAGTTTTGATTTCTGCGCAGGCCCGTTCTCTCGTGGGACAGACTATATTAACGTTTTGAAACTAAGTTTTAATCACTATGGTTGCAGCGCCTCAGGGACGTACTACGCCACAATTCCAAACATATTAGAGTTGATCAGCGCTATAAATTGATGGCCGACTAGACTGTTGCTATTTTTGCAAACTATACAAGTTAATAATTAAAAATAACATGTGTGTTACTTCGCATGTTTTAGCTCAATTAATATATTCACAAATTCTACTAATTATAATGTTAAAAATAGGGTTCTAAATGGGACTTCTCCAATACACACAAAACATACCTGTTGCCTCTTTCCACCTAGTCTAGTCTTGTTCTACAACTTCTTATGACACCTGTTTATTTTCTTTGTAAACTTAAACTCTGATGGTAATTGTTACCTTATTTCCTACTTACCAATATTTTCAAGTCAATTTTCTTCAACGTTTTCTTACATTTTTGTATTATCGTGAATTATTAAAACTTCATAATCTGCACACAATAGAAACCTTGTAAGTGTAAATGTTAATAGATCTAGTATTGACCCTTGATGAGTCCTACTTTTACCGGTCCTAAACTCGTTATATGTATTTTAAATATCTATAGTAATAAACAATAATAGACGTATTAAAAACTTTTAAGTAATAAATATAATTATATTAATTATATTGTTTATGTTTTTTTAACATAAATTTATTACTGAACATCGGTATCAAAAAATATCAAGTTCAGCTTCAGCTTAAACTGCTCAAGTTTTCATCATTTTCTTCTAATTTCTTTAAACGGCCTAGCCAATTCGTGTCCTTAATAATAGTTAGTGAGTAAACAACCTTGAAATCAATTTTTAAAATATTACGAACGTACTTGTAAAACATTTTCATGGCCAGAGCAAGCTATCTGTTATCGAATTATTGTCAAGAGGCTCGAATCTAAATTTTTTGTTGAATACTGTATTGACGCCGATATTACTTTGATTTCGATAAGCATTGTTGACTTCCATCAGATTGTAAAAACTACTAAACTCTCATTATTCGATGCTATCAATGCAATCATCGATTATCTTCTTTCTTTGTTTATTCGTACTCAGTGGCGGATTTGAGGGGGGGGGGCGATGGGACGATCGCCACCCCCCCCCCTTGGCCTGAGTTTTGGCCCAAGAAAAAAGTGGTTGTAATAAATTTCGACCATGTCAATTAAATTGCCTGTTAATTTGTATAAGCTTCATGGTATTATTTTTAATTTAAATCATTTTGTTTATGATTAAAAGCCATTTTAGTTAATATAATAGTACTTTTTTTGTTCCGTCGCTGAAACCAGATTTGAATTCGTCATGAAGTTTACTTGAAATCGGTCAGCGTACTTTTTTTTTAAATTTTAAAATCAAATTTGGAAAGGGTTAAAATTTAAAAAGTACCCTGACCGTTCCAAAGTAAACTTCATGGTGAATTCAAATATGTTTTCAAATTACTTATCGGATTACTGTACGGCCTGTGCGATGGATATAAAATGATGTGTTTTGACTGAAAAAACCCGCCGGTATCGAATTCCCTTAAATGTAGATGATATTATTGAAAGATTTGCTAAAGAAAAATAAAGATGCATTGATTTTATATTATAAATATCTGAGTATTGTACTTTACTTAATTACAATAGTATGTATTTGAATTTAAACAAACTTGTTGTAGCTATTTTCTATGAAAGTTTATTGGGTCAAAATTAAACTGAATTAATAATAGTTAATTAAAAAATAACTAATCAAAATAATTAATACATTGTAACATATTTTGTAGACAATTAATAGGTAATTTTATTATACCTACAAAAAACGAAAATTCACCCCCCCCCCCCCTTAAATAACCCCTGGATCCGCCACTGTAATCGTACTAAGCTTTGGAAAATACTTCAGACCATCTACTTTACGCAAATATTGGTCGGTGGAGTGGCGAATGCAATTTATCACCGTATTTAGGTGCGACATTTCTCGTTTATTGCTCGATATATTCGATATAATATCTTTTATTGATGCTTCAGTGTTTAATGTTTTTTTTATAGTATTCAAGTAACCTATAGCAGTCTTCATAATGATCACTTTCAAGTATACTGTATTATAAATTATAACAAAGTTATAATTTGTAATACCTTTTGTTTTCTTTAAACATAAATTTGAAAAATATAATTGGCCGAACACTATGTTACGACATAAAAATGAAAGTCCAATAGGCAATAATTAATTGTTGGCTCTTTTGGTGCAGTGCAAGTGTCTAGCCAAAACAAAAAGAACATATTAAACGAATTTATTGTTTGTTAAAAAATAATTTAAGAAGTCGCTACCTAAACATTTATTAAGGAGTAAAGTAAAGGCGATTTTTCATAAAATCTTAAGCTGGATCCTAAGCTGTATTGTATACTAATAAATACAGTAAAAATAATTCATTATTGGTTAATTTTTTTTATCACAATTTCTAAGAATTTATTAAAAAATGAAGAAAAAAAAATCTACTTTAAAAATGTACAGTAAAACAAAATAATCGGTCTATCACAAAATATTTTTTTTCTATTTCCCATGAACATTTGGTGAGTTTAGTATGATTACTGTAGTTTCTACATTATTAATTAGCCCAAACTCTGTATTCACCTTACAAATTACAAGTGAGTAGAGTAAGAAAACACTGTTAATGAAAATTAAAATTAAAAGATTATAATTAATGTGGCAACTTTGAGACTACGGCTCTTGTGTACACGTTCAGTCAGCAACTACTATTATTTAAAAATGCTTAAGAACAAATCAAGCCGGGTGGCAAGTGCCTTTACCTCGAAGTTTACAGAATAAGAGTAATGTCAATACAAATTTGGGTTGGGATTAAAATCTAGATTTACTAAAAACGATGGATGTTTGATGTTTCTAGTCGTGTGTCTTGAAAAAATATTATTCAATATTATAAGCAAATGTCTAAATAGAAATATAGTACAAAAACAAATTGTTATAATACAAATTCATATAATCAGTTAAATTTTAACTGTTATAATTATCAAAATTGTTTATTGTCAAATAGGTAATGTTTATTTTTTTTCCATTTGATCAATAGCCACTTCTGAGATTCTTAATCGGTGTTACGGTAACACATTTGGTAAGACATCCAGTTTGAATCCAGTGTGAGTCTAAGTATGCCACTTTGTGTTGCGATATTATTATACAAGATGCAACTAAGGGTTGTTTTATAAGAAAAATTGTGTCGTATGTTTACCTACAAAAAGTATTACTAATTTACAACGATGACAGATTTTGTAATTAATTTAGTTGAAAACTATCACAGAAATAGTCATAATTAACTATATTTGTTATTGCCAAAAAAAAAAAAAAAATACACAGTGCACCTAACTACTTACACCAGTTTACCAGTGTACTTATTTACACTTATAACGAAAATACATTTGTATTTTAAAACTAAAATAAACTATAAAACTCATTGAAGACATTTCAATTTAGTCAATTAGTATTTTTTCTTAAATAACATCATAATAGAAAAAAAAAAATAATTAATATTAAAAATATTAAATCAACTTTGAAATATTATCTTAATAAAAAATATAAGCTTATAAATAAATATTTACTAAAAAGAATTGTTGGAATATTATTTGACAAAATATATTTTTTTATAGTTTGTGTTATTATCATACATTACAACGTAATAAATAACAATAATAATATCCACATAACTAATTACTAACACTTTTGATTTTTGTGTATGCCTGCAAAAAATAAACACAAATTACAAACCTAAAATATAATATTGTTGATTTATTTTAATGATTTTACTTAAATTAGAAGAGGAACTATCATCACTGTCTGAACTGTCTGAATATGCAAGACCCGGTAAAAGACTAGACTTGGTTTCACCTAAAACCAAAATAATAAAATTATAACATACTATCAATAACTTTGGAAAGCGATGCTGTCCACAAAAGCGGCAATAAGTTTTATTTGAGATTCACGTCAACAGATGGGTACACCTCGTCATAGTTTAAACGGACAGGATAGTCCTGTGATCGATTGTCGTTTTAGTGTACACCACCTATTGTCTGATAATATTTATCACAGAAATAATGTTAGACTAAATAAGATAATCTATATTGTTACGCTATAACTACAAATGCTTTAATGTTAGTTATTACAAACCTGTTGGTTTATTGTTTGGTTTAATATTGAGTTTGATTGACTCGCGATTAATCATTTGTTTTTTAGGAGAACTCGTACTTTCCTCCGAAGATCTTTTTTTCACAATAGCACCGGCCAATAGTTTACTCTGTGTTTTTTTCGCCCTATTTACAGCAACGCAAAATGTTTAAAATAAACATATATTCATATAACAATTTTGATACAACCTTATTAAGCGACTTACACGCTTCCCGAAGTAGTCGACGGTTTGGGAACAATAGCTACAAGAGGCGAAACGGACGATTCACACTGAAGAGTCGATACCTTTGAGCGAAATTCCTCAATCTGCCTTGCTTCTTCCATCAATTGTCGTCGTTCTTCGGCCATTTTAGTACGATCCACCAACTCGAGAAAATCAACTTCATCGTCGTCTAAACCGCGTATCATATTCTCTGAAAAGTATTGTTGAACTTAACATTCGCCATGATTTGATATATATATTACACAATTCACAGGGCGCTTACTGAGTTTATGAGTTTCTTCATATTCGTATTCTTTTTTCCTACGCTGTTCTTCGAGCCTATCGAACAGCGAACGATGGTCATACTGCTCCTCGGGAGCCTCTAAACACGTATTACAATTATTATGAGTTTTTGGGTGCATAAGGAATTAACAACAGATTTTTACAAGAGTTATATTACCTAGAGGCTGTTCAGCGGTTCTAACTTTTTCCCATTCTTCTTGCCGGACTTTGCGCCGTTCTGCTAATTCTGTTTCGGTGACAAATCCGGAACTCATCGTGAACGTGAATCAAAATACAGTATAAAATGTATCAAATAAAACGAAATGAATAATAACGCACAACTATCATGATTCAATCGACAGACGACACAGGAATTCTTCAATTAAAATTTAACAACTTGTTCCGTTCACATTGTTATCAAATAAAAATAAACTAAAATTATTGTTAACAGTCTTATCACATTCAGCTGTTATCAGTATATTAATACCAAAGTAGTAGTATTTTCCAAAGAGATTAATGATGAAAAAAGTTTTAAATTTTGACAGGAGGGCTTTTAAATATGTTATGATGCATTTTATTCTTGATTTAATAAAATTAAAATAAAACATTCATAATAATAAAATACGAAGTTCATTAACTAGCTTTCTATAAAATGTACGTACATTGTTTGATTTTTTTTTTTTTAATGCGTTATAATAACACTTAAGTTACTCACAATTGCATGTTTTGCTTCAGTTTTCTAATTAATTTATTCGAAAGTCAATGAATTATGATAATATTGTAATTGGGCCAAGTGTGATAATTGTAAGCCTATGGGGAAGTCGTGACAAACAATTTTCAGTTTTTTTCATCATAACATAATCTTCATAAATTATAAAATTAAGTAACACACTAAAATAGTTGTTTCTACACATTTCTAAATCATTACACATGTATTTCCCTTGTAAGTAATTTTTTACAATTACCCTACCTGATCAATACCGCGCTATACTTGCTTTGATGAAACATAATTAAATTTATGAGTTTGGTATGAAATTAATTTTAAGAGACAATACACTCTACATTCCGTACAGCTTAACAATTGTTAAACTTTTCATTTCGATATTCGGTGTTTTTAACACAATAAAGTGTGTTATTTGTTATGGTAAAATTATAACTATTTAAATGTATCATCAATCATATTATGTAAGTTTAAAAATAATAATAAAATCATAGATACCAAAAACAATCCATATTCAGTCTCTTAATATTATACATTAAATGTATTAATGTTACTAAATACTAAAAATTATACAACCTATGTACAAGTTTTAAGAGGACGTCACACAACATTTATTTTCTTCAAAAAACCCACCTTAATTTTACAAAGGCTATAACCAAAACTAAGAAACCAAATTTTTACATTTGCCTTTAACAAAGTATCCTCATTACTGTATTAATATGTATGCATTATGGTTAAAACTCTAAATTAAGATTTTTTGACAAATTGCCTATACTTTACTCCTTAGAAATGGCCGGTGTGGCGTCCTCTTGAAAACACACAGAAACATTTGCAATACGTTTAAAAAAAAACGCTTAATATTAAATACTTATAATATGTAAATACATAGAGTAGATACACAGTTAATCAAAAAGCAGGCATTTAAATCTCGTTAAGTGTCTATGCTATATGGGGTTGGCTTCTGGTCATAAGTAGGCGCCTTGCCTTGTAACATGTCTTGGATCTCTTGCAATGTTTTTCCCTCAGTGTCCGGCAACAAAAACTTGGTGAATAAGAAAGCGAGGATACAAAAACCGGAGAACATCCAAAATGCAAAATGCTCTCCTATTATATCGCACAGCGTCATAAAACTTTTGGTCAGGATAAATCCCAGTAGCCAGCAAAAGCTCGCAGTCAGAGCAGAAGCCACCGCTTTGAGGTTGGCTGGAAATATCTCACCCATAATGGCCCAAGGCAGAGGACCAAAACCTGAAATATGTATTGTATAGTAATTAGTCTCTTTCGGGTCACAAAAATACAAAATAAGTAAACCATTCCTAGTAAAATCATACCAAAGCAGTAAGTTATTATGTAAAGAACTAGACTGGTTACAGGAAGCCAGCCCAGCGATGCCATGTCGTGTCCTAGACTCTTCTGGAAGAAATACAAACCCAAAGTACCCTATAACAAGTGTGTTTTTTCTTGAAAATAGTATTTATTTGTCTATTTTATGTTTTATTTTATTTTACCAGAGTGACAGTCATTCCTATGGATGACGTGTACAACAGAGCTTTCATGCCAAACCTTTTGGCCAGCGGTGGAGTCATAGCAGCTGCGAAAACCATAACCGATCCCACTATAATAGTACTAAGGCTAGCCGACATACTAGACCCTGTACTTTTGAATATAGATTCACTGTAGAATAGCACCACGTTAATGCCACTGACTTGTTGGAAACCTACCATGGCGCCAGCGATCAATAAAGCTTTGATGTTGACTACACTACTGAACAGCTCGCCCAATCCAGATTTTTGCTTCATCGTGATTTCCAACGAGTCCTGTGTACGATTAAAATTATAGCATAATAACGTTGTATAAAAGTAACAGATTTTTACAGCAATGGTATCAAAATATATAACCCAAATGGACAACTCGATCCTAGGTCATCTTAATCCCACTTTGCTCTAGATCAGCCCTACTGTGCTAACTCGGTTGGGACGGAATAAACCTTACCGATTCCGAATTAACCCCAGATCGTCCAATAGTTCATGTTGACGTTACTAAGTCTTAGTTTACTAAAATGTATATCTACTACTATAAGCTAACACGTTTACAGTTTTGGGTGACTTCGTGTGTGTTGACTGTGGTTACCTTCATTTCGCCTAGTTCCTTCGTAAGGAACTCTTCTTCTGGATTACCGCGAAGCCATCGCAATGATGCTAGTGCTTGTTTTTCATTGTCCGGGTTCCTCAACAGATACTGAGGGGTTTCTGGCATCCAGATGAACGTTCCCAAACAAAGCAACGGCGGCACCACTGATACCATTACCAGAAGGAAGTACGTTGTGTAAGGACCGATCACATACTCCACTAGGAAACCGGCGCACAGGAAAAATTGCATCAGCGTACCCAACGAACTCCTCAGGCTCGGCTAAGACACATACATGCAGACGTTATATGTATATAGTTAGCGATTAAATTGCCAACAGCCGGTCTAATGCTCACTTCGGCTATTTCTGCGATATACAAAGGATTGACCGTGTACACCAGTCCCACAGCTACCCCGGCTATAACCCTGGCCACGTAGATGGCATACAATCTCGGGAAAAAACCAATGACCAGCCACGAGATGACGAACAACACCATGGCGAACAACACTGTGCGTTTGCGGCCAAATCGATCGATCAAAGCACCGGCAATCAGTGGTCCGATTGCAGCACCCAGAGCGATCAGCGATCCGATCCAGCCACCTTCGGACCGGGAAATGATCAGACCATCCGCACTAGGATCGCCTTCTTCTAGTTTGGGAATTGTCGGCGACGACCAGGTTAGGGCGCAGCCAGCGGCTAAGGCACCGATGTTCACTGTAAGCACACAGTATCACAATGTGTGTTAAAACACTAAGTAACACACAAGTAAACACCAAGTAAGTATTAATAGTATACAATATATTTTGATGTGTACGCAAGAAGATATTTTAGGCAGTAACATAAGATTACTGTGACAATTGAACTGCACGAAGCATTTTATCCGAAAAAGTATTTTAATTCTAAAATATTGACAACAATTGAACTGAGTTCAGAATGAAACCTAACCGTAGCAAATAGCATTAGCCGCATTTGCAACCGAAAACCAAACAGCCGAGTTACATATCAATTTAACATGAGTTCCTCCGGAATCAAAAAGGGCATCATTTTTTTTTTTATATGAACGCAGAGTAATGTAAATTTATATTCGAATAAAAGGTTATTCAAATAATTTGTATACGTGTAGTGAATATTAGATTTGTACGAATTAATGTTTTAAATTATAATTACTTGAAAAAAACACAAACTTTTTAAATAGTAGGTATGTTTAAAAACTATTCGAATAGTTAAATTTGAAAACATTGGAATACTTTTTTTAATGATTATTTAGATAACGTTTTATTCGAATGATGCACAACTCTGATTGAACGTGTAGGTACGACATGAATATCTCGGAGGTCTTATTTAGAGCTCGGCTAAGACTTTACCCTGTGTTAAACAGTTCATGTTTGTGTTTTTTCCCAGTATATTGTACTTTGCAAAATATGTTTAATAGTCGTTATTGGAATTTACATAAGAACAAAAACAGTAAATAACAAAACAGTTCCGTCTTGTCTTTGCATAATTATGTGAAGACACTGGCACAGCAATCAATCAGATGTAATACTGTTTAACAATAACCGTCTTCGAGCTGATCCATAAATTACACATATATACTTATATTAAATTACATTGTATTATATAGTAGTGTTTTTTTTTCCTACAAAAAGTATAACAAATTTGCGACCAGGAAAGATATTTATTAGCGAGTATTGTTTGACAATACTTATGTTTTTTTTTGCATTTAGACCAACAACATTACACCATTAAGAATATACAAGTTTACTTTAGTAATAGATGAACTCAAAAGAAACACACAAGGCAATGCACCTTAGTCTTTATTGTTTATCAATGATAAAACACAAGTGTTAGAAATTGAATTAGTTAAACGTAGTAAGAGACAAACGGTTTGAATATAAGTAGGTATCTAGAACGGTATACTTAGAGTTTAGTTTAGAAACACATAAACCCTATGTTACCAACAATAGATCCATTTCTATCGACTATCTTCTTATCGTGAAAATATTCATATAATAAATAATACCATTGCAAGAAATAGTAACATTTTATCATGTACCTCTATTGGTCTTGGCAATTTTATTGATATTTTCTAGAACGCATTATCTTAATCTCACTAATTACAGAATAATTACATTGAGATTATGCATTAGTTATGTAATTATTTTTCTTTGTAGTATGCAACTTTTAATTATTGTTACAATATCAATACAAATAAAATTAACTTTTAACAAATATTGCTGTGATAAGTTAATGTATTTTAAACACAAAAGTATTTTCTTATATTATCTTAACGGAAATACAGAAAAAATATTTTTTATATTAAATTAATGCATAATTAATTATGTTTTATACAAAAGGTTATAAGTTATAACTTGTACTATAGATAAAACATTTCGTTTCTAAGCGACGATTTTTGATTATTAGAATTTAGATTGTTGATTCTTTAAGGTGGCTAGCAATCATTTTCAATGTATATTATGCAAAATTTAATCATAAGGCCATGCAAAAAAAAAATTTTAAAAATCAAACGATTTGGCAATATTTTAATAATATCTTATACTCCTATTGGAAATATATAAACATTGTTAGATTGAACTTAACTAAATGTAAACTCCAATAGTTCTCAAATACTTTCTTTTGGATATTTGAATCAATTTTAAAAATATTATTACTGCTCGACATTTGTTTTTTCATCATAAGATGTAATGCATCAAAAAATTAAATAAGACTAGGAAACTATTGGATGTATTTTTATAAAAAAATTAATATATTTTCAATTGTTCTATTTTTTTGCAATTCATCCTTATTAACGTAGTGATTCGCACAGCATTTAATTTACAATAATAAAAATAGGTCAAATATAAAACATGTTCATTGTTATTGATACAAGAAATCCGCTATGAAACGGATAAGTTTTTTGTCCACGTGACATGAGACAACACATCTGTCTCGTTGAATCCTAAATAGGGAAACATGTTTCCTGTTAACCGGATAAAGGTACGATATAGAAAAGTAATTTATAAAAAAATAATACCAGTCGACGATTAGCAGGCTCAATAGGTATCGACAATCACTATAATACAGGTATATATTTGCTTAGATATCTAAATACTAACTAAATTTCGTTAATTTTTAACAGAACATTATGAATATTTTAATTTTATAGGCATTAAGTATTTTTATTTTTGTCAATCGTTTTCTGAGTGATATAATTGATCACACAGAAATCGGAATCTTATTAGAAATAAATAACAACAAAAAAAGTATAAAACAAATTATAGTGAAAATTAATCGTTTTGAAAATGATTAGATACGTTTAATGTTGTGCTTCAATAATATAAAATGTGACAAATTTATATAGACTTTTTTTACCTGTACATGATGCCAAGTAGAGATTAAACGCACCAGATCCGGTCTGTTCTTGTTCGGACTTCATGTCTGCGAATGACTACACGAAAACGGTCGCTACGATGGAATCAGTTTCTTCCCATGAACATTCCCCTCTTTATTTTCTTACACTAAAGAGTCTGTCAAAACATTCCATCATATAATTTACAACTATAATCAGAGCTTAGTTCAGTAATAGAACTTTTTCAAAAATGTCCATTTATTACAACTGTTATTTAACAACCTTTATGAAAAAGTTATAAATAATTTATATTGTAGGTATAAACTAATAAAAATAATAATAAATGTACCTATGTTTTAAAAAAAAAAACTACAAACTACACTTCATAATGAGTTTTGAGATTAACTGGCAATGTCTTTTGAGGTTTTGAAAAACAAACGTTTGTTCTTATATATACTTGTATAGCCGCTATTTTACCTTAATGGCAACTCTATCATTTAAATTGGCTGTACTTCACTTTATATAATAACGAATCTCGATGTACGAATACTACTACAGTAACAGCATCAAGTAAGTTAAGTGGTATTTTTTTGAGGGGTTTTTATGAACAGTTAAAATGTAATGTGCAATAGGCTGTAGGTGAATTATTAAACATAATTTTTTTGATTTTAAATTAATACAATTTTATCAGTTATTTTTTTTATTCACCGAATATGCTGTGTGATTGATGGTTTATATTGTATATTTATTAAAACGACGAAATTCAACGGGTCATATTTAACAAACACACATAAACTAAACTAATAGATTACTCAGTACTCACTTCAATTAAAATTATACTCCTATCCCCAAGTCCTAAATAAGGGTAACGCTAATTGCTAAATAAAGGTACACACACACACACATTTTAACGATTTCATTTAACAGCTGGTGGATAATGTTGAATTGTAGATATTTAAACCCTAATCCTAATTTTATTATAATATTATTATATAATGTTTATTACTCAATAAAAAAACTAACGCAATAATAAGATATTGATTTAAGCTGCAGGAAAACTGACTCAGACCGTTTTCTTAAGACCACTTAAACACCGGTTAAGTCCTTTGTTTATACAGCCACACCTTTGTATCTGGCAACGGATAGTCTTAATAATTGTAATGTAAATACAATAAATCAATTTTTTGAAATCTGTTGATCGTATACAATTGCACTTTAATTTGTCATGTCATTTAATGATTTACGGTATTGATGTTTTTTTTTGACACAGAGCGTTATACAGTGTGAATAACACGGTTGATGTTTTTTACGACTTACAATTAAACCTATCTTAATGATAATAATATTTAAATATTTTCAACACGTTTTATGTATTTTAACCAATTTATTTATTTTCAACCGACCGTCAATATATTGTGAGGGGAGGGGGGAGTACAAAATAAAATTAGAAATATTTCAAAAAAGCAAAACAACCTACATAAATATATAAATATATATTATTAACTTTAAATAATAAACTGTTATATACTTAATTGTTTTTAATAAGTATTAAGTAATGACTATTATAAACATAATAAATAATAATTAAAAATGAGCTGTTTATTTAAATATACAACCGTAATAAATAACGACGACTTAATAGATAAGTGTGTCATATTTTTATTGAAATCTTGCAGTCTTCATAAAAAAAAAAAAAAGGAAAAAATAAAATTGTACAAGTCACAATGTCAAAATAAAATCATGATGGTTTTTGTAAGATGACAAAAACATCCTATCAGGTTTAATTAGCAATTATTTAATAATATTATAACTAAAACAATATAGCATTTAAAAATGTTGTCATTTGATCCTCGTGACTTTCAAATATTTGTGACAATTAAAAAACCTTACGAAATAACTGATTAATTCAATGTATTTTCGAGAAATCCGTAAACAGATATTTTAAGTATCGCAATATGATACTATAATAATTAAAATATATGTTAATAGTCAGAATTTACGGAACTTACTATTTACAAAGTAGGCACTTAACAACTGTAAGATTTTGAGGTAAACCCAAGCGGTCCTTTCTTTGGATAAAAAAACTAATTGTTTTCATCTTAACAATGGCATTTATCTGTCGGTGTACTAAGTATTTTGATAACAGAATACACGGGTCATCGTATATTTTTTAATAAATGTCGACTAACAACTCCCTTGATGTGCTCCTGGGCAGAAGTTTGCCCCGTGTATTGCAACAAGACGCAGACACTAATATTCACGCGATCGAAGTGTTGCCTACACATAACTCCTAACAATTCCGCTGTTTGCAATACTCTTGAATTCTGATTGCTACAACACAATATGTTGGAAATAAAATAATAATGACCCACGATAATATAACAATACAGTTGTATAATAATAAACAATAGTCTTAGCATAAGTCAAATTACATTAAAAAAAAAATTATATATATATATATATATTATATAAATCTATTAATCGTATACAAAATTTACAGATGACAGTTTTATACGTAAAAAAACAAATCATTTTTTTTCTTTTTTTTTTAAATTATTATTATTACTGATTCCGTTGTTGTTGGAGGTAATCAATATTGGTTTCACTTGTAAAATCTGTATACACACACACACACACATATAAATACATATCATACACGCGTACATGTAAACATATAAAAATTGATTGTACTCAATACATGGTTCAATTATACATTTATAAAACTCTGTGAAAAATCAGTCGCTTTCGTTACATCTATTTAGGGGCGTTTATGACGTCACGCTTTGACGGTCGTTTTATCCTTGGCCGACGGTTTCGCGTTCCTGCCGTGCAACATGTCTTGGATTTCCGGTAAAGTCTTGCCTTCGGTGTCTGGCAGTATGAATATGGTGAACAACAGGGCCACGACGCAGAAACCGGAGAACATCCAAAACGCAAAATGCTCACCGATCACCGAGCAGAGGGTGTTAAAAGACTTTGACAAGACGAAGCCCAAGAACCAACAGAAACTCGCTGTAAGGGCCGACGCCACCGACTTGAGGTTGGCCGGGAACACCTCTCCCATTATGGCCCAGGGTAGCGGTCCAAAACCTGTAAGGGCGAGGAAACGTTGATCAGACAGGATCGATTACAAGTAACAATAACTATAATAGACATTTTTTTTTAATCATAATCAATAATATAAGTAGACAACTTACCGAGGCAGTACGTTATGATGAAAAGCACCAAACTGGTGACCGGCAACCATCCTATGGTGGAAACGTCCTGGTGTTTGCTTAGCATATAAAAGTAAAACCCGAGCACACCCTGCAAAAACACAACATGAAGCATTAGTGTTAGTGTAAACTATTTAAAAGATATAAGTCGTGAAAAACAGCGTAGATGTCGGGTGCGCAACCAGGATTTGTTTTTGGAAAAGATTATCAAAAAAAAAAAAAATAACAGCTAAAATAATTGGGATAATGAAATTCCCAATGTTTATGTTAATATAGCTCTATAACATCTTAACTCGAAACTAAATATAAGCGTTACTATTTTAAAGAAAATAAAATTTGTATAACACGCAAATATAGAAGAAAATTTGGAAATTTATCAAAATCTGTAACAGCACCTCTTTTTAGTTTTAAATGGGACATGCAGCTGGATTCACGTCTGATATAAATGCAGGTATGCGCATAGCGTTTACCTCGGTGAGGGCCATGCCGACGGCCGAGATGTACAACAGGGTCTTCATGGAGAAGAATTTGGCCAGCGACGGCGTGACAGCGGCCGCGACCAACATCACCGACCCCACGATGATCGTACAAATGCTAGGCGATATTTGAGCGCCGGTCTTCTGGAATATCGTTTCGCTGAACAGGAGGACGACGTTGATGCCGCTGAGTTGCTGGAATCCGACCATGGAACAAGCGATGATCACGGCTTTGATGTTGCCCTTGTTCGCGAACAGCTCGCCAAAGCTCGACTTCTGTCTCTGCGTCTCCTCGATGGATCTCTTAAACATGGCAAAACAACCAATAAGGTCAAGTCACAAGGTGTGTTGCACGCGCGTGCCATCGTCGGCCAATTAACACCACTATTGCTTACCTTGATTTCGCCGAGCTCCTTGATCAAAATCGCCTCCTGCGGATTGCCGCGCAACCAACGGAGCGATTCCAAAGCTTGAGTCTCGCGACCGGGACGTCCCAGCAGCGAATGGGGCGAATCCGGCATCCACACGAACATGCCGAAACAGAGGATGGGCGTGGTAAGAGACACCAGCACCAGAGTGAGGTATGACGTGTAGGGTCCAACGATAAACTCTATCAGGAAGCCAAAGCACAAGAAGAACTGCATGAGTGTACCCAATGAACTCCTCAAGTGCGGCTAATATCGAAAAAAAAGAGTGTGCAAATGAGTTAACGCGTGCAAATTGACGGTTATATTAACGAACGGAGGTCACTTGATTGTCAAAACGCTGATATTACAACAATGTCTCCCAAAGTATCAAAATTAATCCAAACCCAGGTATAAGCATTGGTTAAAGTTTTTTTCTTGATAAGCTAACAGTGGACAACATTCGAATACCAGAGCGAAATCTGAGTCCTCGACAAATGTTTCTTGTGATCCTGTACTATTAACGTTGACTATTCATACTGTGTTGCCAAACACTTATAGAATGTCGTTTATCTTGGTCTTTTTTTTAATTTCCACCATTGTGAAAAGGGAGGGAGGGCAGCTAAACAAATAATAATCGACCAACCCACCCATCCAACAGCGTTCTAGCGATCAATGCACCGTCTACCAGTTTAAATGACAACAATAACAATACCATTGCGATTTCGGCTATGTACGTGGGCACGGCTGTGAAAATTAGACCGACGGCCACGCCGGATAGTACCCTTGCCCCGTATAAGACATACAGATTAGGAATGAACCCAATGGTTATCCACGAGATCATTGACAACACCATGCTGAGCAAAACGGTATTTTTCCTGCCCAGCCGGTCAAGTATGGCGCCGGAAAGTATGGGTCCGATGGCGGCACCCAACGTCACAAGAGAGCCGACCCAAGTGGCTTCTTCCTCGTTTATGATCAGATTGAAGCTCGGATCACCACGTTGTAGCTTAAGTATCGTGGGCGACGACCACGTGAGAGCACACCCCGCTGCCAAAGCTCCCATGTTGGCTGTAAAAGTAAACAGAAAAAAATACATTAGTTCAATGTCATAACCAGCATTCAGGCTATCCTAATCTAATCATATACATATTTTTTTCAAAAATGAGTTCCCTCCGTGATTACAGTTATTAAATTATATAATAATGGATCAAATAAAGCATATTCCTCGCATTGCAACAAAACATTATGTATTTTCTTAAAAACTTGTTCCATGTACTTCGTAATGTAAATAACAAAATGTTTACCTATTAAAAATTGTACACTAACTTTTTTTGGGGGTGCAATTAATTTAGCGTTTTTTTTTATTTAAATTATTCCGTATCTTAATAGATTTTTCAGTTTGCTTGCTTAACGTATGATTTACCACAATGGACAATTGATGCCCTGACCCGTGTGTCCTTTGGTATTTTGAGCTTCGGATAATTTTTTATTATTAAGCGACACATAAACCTTTTTGCTCGTTTTAAAGAACCAAAGAAAACTACAAATTTTGTTTTTTAAACGCCATTGCTATACCCAATTAGTCTGTTATTGGAATTCACCGCTTGATCGTGCAAAATCATCATTGAACTAGTTTAGCTATTATTCATTCGAGTATAATTCATCAATATTATTATTATTGTTTTGTACCGATCTAGGTCAACATATTATTTTACCAATCGAATGTGTGTTGAAACATTAAATCCGAATACATATACTTATCCTACTGTTGGTGGTGCAATAACTGCCGGTAATAGTAAATCAAAGCCTACTATGTTTATAAATATTATGATTTATTTCGGTCTCGGTTTTGTAATGGGCTCTTTTCGGCGGGTTTCTTTTAGAAGTGGAACGCGACTTGAGCAGTTGTGGAAAAAAAACAGTGGTACAACGACAAAACGACATGACTTGGGTTTGTCGCCGAACGTTAGCAACTTAAATGCCTTTTATATAATATTGCTGTTTGTCCATAGATAATTAGATTATACTGATAGGAAACGTACACAGCCGAGGAAGACAATGATCTAACCTAGCAAAAATATTGTACTAACGGATAGTTTCACTATACAACTTGGTCTGTGTGCAAGTGGGAGGTGACCATATGAACCAGTACGCACAGAGCCTACTGATTACCTACTACTGTTTTACTACACGCTTTTTAAACCCTATAGTAGTTATGTAACTGGCAAAAAAAAAATCCTAGTGTATTTAATTCCAACGGAAAATCGCCCATGATCGTTGTGTGCGAAAAAACAAAAAAAAGAAAGTGTACGGCGTTCGCATTGAGAAACCAATTCGTTTTGTACAAATTAATAACCTCAACAGGATCGTTCCGCATTGTGCATTTTAAACCTACAACGATAATAAACGCACTGCGAATTAGATATTAAAAAAATATATATAACTTTGGGCGTGTCATGTGATATAAATCGAATAATATACAATATAACGCACATTTATAGGAATATAGAGTATTATTTTTAAAAAAAAACATCCGTATCGCATCGCCGAGTTCATATTTGACCGTTGAAATATACATATTCATTATAAAGACCTTAATAATAGCTATACAAATACACAGCACGTTAGCATGCAAATTTTTTAACGGGTTCATTATCTACTTAGACGTTTGACGTCCGTTTCAATATTAAAATTATATATTATTTTTAGCGAATGCGTATCGCTCGAATTTTCGGTTTCTGTAATTATTATTGGATTTTGATCGACCTTTACCAGTTTAGAAACAACTATAACACAATCACCGACCACTTTATTTATTGCCGCTGATTATAACATATTGTTTATTAATAATAAATCCAAAACACAACGGTATATTCATTTCATAGCTAGTCGTTGTATAATATCCGATTATTCATGCTACAACAAAAAGGTTGATTGTAATACAAACAAAAAGTTACCAAGTACACAAGTAGTCTCAGTTTTTGTTTATGGTCTAGTGTATACAATATGTGTGCGTTCACATTTAAAAAAAATAGAAATAATTCGAATATCAGCGACTTTTATTTTTTAATATAAATTTTAATTCCCTTGTTATTTATTTTTAATTGATCATCTATAGCTATCATTTGGCGTACACACGTGGGGTCGGCCACCTTAGTAACATCAGTTTTTACTCCACACCCCTCCATAAATATTTGGTACTTCCTTATAGTTAAATATATGGAGGGAGAAAGTGCTAAGCTTTTTTTAGTGTGGCCGTACCCACGCGCCAACTTAGGACATCAGTTTATAAGTACCACACATAATATATTTTGTCTAAAATATTAAATTATATTAGTTATTATTTAAAAATAATATAGTATACGATTTCTACAGCCACTTCATAAACAACGAAGTCTTGTATGTCTACACGTTCTTAAGTTTTGGGTAAGCTTTAAAGCTATACAGTAATATAATATTTAAATTAAAAGAGAGTGAAACACAAGCAAATGTCATGTTGATCTATTTTAAGTATTTAATAAGCGTTCGTTCTAGGCATACCAGCAATATTATAAATGACTCCTTTTATGTACGTTGAGCAAATTAAACGGAATATCAGCAGATTTAGTTTGCGATGGAATGCAGGTATTTTAGTATAGAATAAACACAAATGAAGCAATATTCTCCCAACTGATATTTATTTAAAAATCCATTTCGCTGTGTTTTTATTTAAATTACCACTATTTAGTTATTTAACAATTACACGTTCTTGTATGTATTGTAAAAAACATAACTGTATTTACTTTTCAACGTGTGTGTTTGTACGGAGGGATTCTATTTCGTTTGGAAAAACTACATTAAACATATTCGCCATTTACATCACAAAATAAATCTACTGAAATTCCATTTAATCAGCACACTGTAGTACTAGTGGATTGGAATAGTTGTAGTGATCATACAATTATAAAATAAAGGCCCCGTTTAGAACAAGAACAACTCAAAATTTGGAGGAGAAATTAGAACCTCATTCCGTGCTTTGCTGTTTGTTTTAGACGGTTTTAAGTAATAAATGTAAACTTCAGCGATTGAAAATAATAATTTTACAACCCCCTGAAGAAACGTTTAGGAGATAATTAATTTCAAACGGACAATTTTTTTGTTTGCGATTTTGAGTTGTTGCGGTACTTAACGGGTTTTTTTAACAAAACTGTGTTGTGGGACTGACCTGTGCAAGACGCGAGGTACAGATTGAGCGTGGAGCCCTTCGATACCTTCGAAGACTGTTCCATGGCGACGCCGGTAACCGAGCCTCTTGTTTTGTCGCCGTTGACCAGCGGCACGCAATTGCCATTTTCCGCCGTGCCAGTCGGCTGTGCAGCGTCGCTTTCCCCGCCAGGCCCGGGCGCCGCCCCTTCCTCCATAAGCGTTTCCAACTCCATTGGCCCGGAGAGCTGCGGCCGTATCAAATTTGACGTTTTTCTTCTGGGTGGGCCGCCAGAACCCAAATTCAAACGGTGCTGTTTGGCCTGCGGTTTTGGCGGTTGCCTGTGGACAAAACAAATTGATACAATATTACACTATAATAGGTGTTATCTTCCAGTGATGTTGGCCGTAAATGATTAATTTATTGTTAAATTACCTACTTAATCGACAACGGAATGAATCATTTATGATATTTTTAAACGAAAATCATATGAATCACACAATTTAATTATCGTTTAATAAGATGCGCGATTAACGGCCAATTTTGTATTTTTGTTATATTATGTTATATTTGTATTATTTCTGTATTTTTATTTTATAAGACTACTTATTTTAAACAACAATAATACACATAATTTGATATCGTAGGACAAGAATATAAGTAAGTTTTATAATAGCTATTAAATACAAAATTGTCCATAAAAATTATCTTTTTAATAATTAAACATTAGTTCTAAAATCAAATAATAAATTACCAACTTTTGTTGATTACCTATTAAAAAATAATTGTATACGTTTATGTTTTCCTAATAAATCTATTCAATGATTAATTTAATCATATAACATGATTATTTTAATTATTTGTAATTACAATCAGAAAATCGCAATAAAACGCGTCAACATAGGCCAGCTAACTTCTTACTGTATTTGATTCTTACATTATGCCTAAATACACATACAAGCGTTTTGTTATAAACCTATCACTTATAAGTTATAAATTATTACAACTACCTAGTCCCTAACTTATTTTATACAGTGTTGTGTTTTTACTTTATTCATTTAAGTATTTTCTTCGTACAGTTTAACTTAATCTAACCTTACCCCTATTAAGTTATACAAACTATATTGTATTATTTAGCGAGTATGCGTTTTCCACCCTTAATATTAATTATTCCTAGAAGCTAGTGGCTATAACGTGAAAGCGTTAGATTTTTAAATATTATCATTACTGTATAGAAGATCCGGCCCTTTTTATAGTTATCGCCATTAAACAATCTATCAAATATATTTTATTATAAAAAAACTACCGATATGATTGACATGTACAGACTGTGTACACAAACGTCAAACTTATTATTAGGCTTAGTAACTATAAATCAAATCGAGACAAAAAAAAATGTTAGAACAAGAAAGAAACAAGAAGCGTTTGATTATGTATGTATACAGTTATTATATATCACGTGTCAAGTGTAATATCGATTCGGTTAGGAGTGGTACACAAATTGAGCAATAAAAAAATAATCTTATTAGCAGTCAATTGGTTGAATAAATGAATCCACAAGAGTTTTACTACAATATTGTAATACGCCGACGTTTAAAATAATTAATAATATATAATACATATTTAATAATGCATTATATTGGGTTCATATACAATAAACTAATTGCTGTCCCGATAATTATAAAATACTCAAGTTAATATTGAATTTTAGTATGAACATGCGGTTTCAATGATGATATTCTATTCGTCTAATCCGGGTAGTGTTCTCGCTTTGTCTCGTCGTTAACAAGTACAACCATAAATTAATTTAAACAAATATTTTTCGCGCACTGATTTTTATATACCAATCTCAGCAGTACTCGGTAAATAATAATCATTTTTATCGGGAGTTGTATAAAATAATGGTAATATTTTCTGATGAAAGAAATCCAATCTGACTACACTAATTAACCATTTTTACAATTTACAGTTAACTGACGTCTTCAACAATCATATAACATTATTATATATTTTTTTATACAAGTAACACAGTACGTAACAATACAAATGATCAAATCACATTAAAGTGCTGTGCGTACACTAGTGTACCAATTATTTAGCAGACAGGTGATTACCACGCGCAAAGCACACACACGGATGAGTGATTAAAATTTAATTTAAATGAAGGTTATACTACCAAAAAAACGTAGAATCAATCAATTAGTCAATCATCCATTGGTATAGTACGGATCAATGATATTTATAGTATATTAATATCAGACGAACTATTTTGTAATTACTCAAGGTTTGGTCCATTCAAATATATGCCAATACTAATTCTTGAATTGTTTTTGTTGATAACATACGTTTGTTTAATGTTTTTATTTTGTGTGTTTTTGTTAACGATACTAGAAAAAAATATTATTAGTATTACTATTATTAATCAACGAACCGTTACTGGGGTTTTGTTTTCTGGTACAAAACGAGAGGCACACAATAACACATCTACGACCTATCGCCCACCCAAGTGTGACCAATTACACTCACGAATCAATATCAACTTAAAATAAATTCAATAAAAAATAAAATAAATTCAAACAAACAAACCCGGATGGCCACCGTGCAAATAATATAGCTTCTATTTCAATAAATATCACATTACACATTCATCAATGACGTTAGCGGACGGCGTTTACGTGATTACAATAAAGAAACATTGGCTAATGCCGCACTGGCCGTTTTCTTAGTGTACATAACAATATTATACTGGACTACGGCTGTGCCAGGAATCAATCAATAATTTACAATTTGGTAGGAAGCCATTAAAAATGTTTAGAGAAACAAAGCGTACATCCGGAATGCTCGCCACGATAGCGAATAGCACAAGTCTATATATACATATAATTTATTCAAGTACTTGGAAGTAAGTGCTTTGTCTATAGGAAAAAAAACCCTCTACGATGAAAACATTAACACCATTTATGGACAATGAACGTGTCGACAAACGACTCATTATCGCGAAATTAAACTGTTTTATTACCTCTCCTCATAATTTTATATTATGTTGTTACATTGACAAAACCTAACCGGCTTAAGTGAAAAGTTATTTGTCGATTAGACCACGGCGCAAAGGCTACTGGCCAAAGATTAAAAGAGGAAGAAATACGAGAACTTTAAGAACGAATTCTGAATTGTTTTTTCATTATTTATTGACTTAATATCTTTTAGTGTATGCCAGTGATTTTGTACACAAGTGTCATGAGTTAATTTAGAACAATGTAGGAAAATGTTTGAGAAAACCCTGTCAAAAAACAGAACACTAGATTTTAAGTTTAGCAACGAGGAAGTTGTAGAAGAAGAAGCGTGTTATGTTTAGAGAGCAAGTGGAAAATATTTGCGATCGACCATGCAAAGGAGTAGAGTAACTGAATAAAATAATAAGTAAAAATAAGTATGTGATTGAATCAGGTCTTACAAGTGTGATGTGTGACAAAATATACCACTTTGGATGAAAATCGAAATGATAAAAAAAATGTATAGTGAGATCAGCAACGATATATTATGTAAATATGATTGTTCGGCATTGAATAGGAAGAAAAATGATAGGGAAAAGGAAAGTTTCCGAAATAGAATGAGAAGAGTGTTTGTATTAGCTCAGAAACTAGTAAAGTAACTATAACATGTTATTTAGCATTTAGCGTGTTAGTTGGGAAAATAACATTTCGTTAGCCTCGTGTAACCGGAGCTTAGATTATTTTTATTAACACTAGTTTACTTTGCTCGTATGAAATTCTCTGTTCTCATGATAGTAAAACAGCTTGCTAGGCGCTAGCTACTAAAAATTGTATTAACTGTAAAAAACAGGTTATAAAACTTCTAATGTATAAAACTATATGTAAGAAAAAAATGTGAGTTTAATTTTTGAAATCAATACACCAAATTTACCTACCAAAATCAAGTTTCAATTTCTTGGTGGCAAAATGTTATTAATAGTATACCTAAGTAGTAAAGGGGCGTCCTCTTAATATTGTTATACTTGAATTGATATCAACAGTAGGCACACATTAACTAGATATAGGTATTATGCTCAAAAAAATTAATTAAAACTAGGTACAGGCCAAATAAGATCAGTTAGAAGTAACGAATAGTGAACAATACATACCGCAATGTTATTATAAAACTTCAGTCGACAATATACACTTTTACTACCGTGTTAACAATGCAATTATGTGTATTGTAAACGTTGCACAATAATTATAAGTGCTCGACACTTGAAAAAAAATCAAAAACCAATCGCAGACACACCAACTAAACCAGCTACTACTGCCATAGTACCGCCAACACTACTAACACCAAATACTAAACTTCGGTTCTGTAATTCTAGTTTTTCCCTTCGTTTAATTAGTTTGTGTATTAGGTAGGTATTTTTATATGTATATGTATAGTTGAAAATCTGGCACGAACCACTTGTCGCGCCGAAGTCAAAGTCGTTATACATGTTTAGCGTTTCCCTCGCGCCACTAAATTAAACGGATTCACAACTACTATGAACATGACATATTTTTATAGCCAAAAAACGATTACCAAAAACAGCCTATGTGATATTATTATAGGTGTTTCACTATTATTGTAATAAATTTAACCGCGAAGCTTGTCGTCGGCGCAGTCGCAAGTATAAAGGTTAACGGCCGGATCGACACAAAAAAAAATGTATAATGTATGTATATAAAAAAACGATTGTTCAAACAATTAAAATCAAAGGAAATAATCGAAAAACAAATTTACCTTTTGTGGCTGTTGAAACAAACGCTACAAACGTTCTTTTTTCACCTCTGAATCGGCAATGTCGACAACGGCGATAAGACCATATGGTAAATGCTACTTACACAGAATGGAACCTCGCTGTTTTTATAATAATAATTTATACATCTTTTTTTATGTCTAATTAAAATGTTATCGACGTTCCCCGCCCCGACGAATGCCGACCCACTACAGTAGTTCCTTCTCTTTTTTTTTGTCACCCGATAGAACACTGCGAGTATAAGACTATAATAATAGTGTTATGTTATATTATATCCTATGATCGTTTATAACAAGTGATACATACGTCAAGACCCGCGGTCTCCATAATTAAACTGCAATCAGGTTATGATTTTCCCGGATGAAGGAATATTCAAGTGAGGTATCACAGAGTGGGAGCATATTATAATTTACAACTGGGGTGACGCCCTAATACAAGCTGTACTCTATCTAATCTCGGTTTTAAAAGTTAAGAAACTTACCAGCAACTACACAAGCCGATAACAATTATTTTAAATACATAATCAATTGTTTATCTAAACATTTAAATACACTTTAATCC